GAAGCTTGGGGACGCCCACTGCCATAAATCAATCAATCAGTCAATCATTTTTAATCATGTACTTGCATTTTCATAGTTAATATAAAAATGGGCTCTAGACAATGCCTTCTCTATAATGAATAATACGCTTTGTATTACAGAAGGGGGTTTATCTTAAATTAATTCATCCTTTTTCTAAGTTGGTGACATATTAATTTGCAAAAGCTTTTGCCAACTGTACAGAAATAAATGAAGCCTGCTGAAAGATCAGCACTGCAAAGTAGATATGCTCATGAACAACTGAACACATGAACAGTTCCTTCAAATCAAACCACTATTTTTGAGGAATTATTATGCTCTGGATTTAGATCTTTAATGTAGGGTTTAAGTTCTGCACAGACTTTTTCACTTGATAAATTTAACCCAAACCAGCTTCCTTTTCGGGGATGTCTGATTGATAATAATAACCTTACCAAAAGAAAATCCAAATGATGTGTCCCAAGTCTACAGGACAGGATGCTGTAAGTAACATTTTCTAAAGGTGAGTAAGTATATTTTATTTAAGAGAATACTTTAGATTCTAAAACTCCTTGAGACTAGGGTTTTGAAGTTTAATGTTTTCAATTTTCAACGAACATTCAGTCATAAAGGACTTTCTCATAAAGTCATCTTTTTATTATTCTGAAAGTCATATGAAAAGCAAGTCTTTCTCTATATCCACACTGCCTTAACTGCTTCAAAGTCTTCAGGCAATTCTATGTATTTTTCCAACCAATGACAGATGACGCCATCTTTAGAGTGACTCCATTAAATGCTGACCACAAAAGTATTCCTACTATAAATGGCACAATACATGGTGAAGGACGACTGCCCTCAACAGACTCCCTGGTTTCCAGCGCTGATATCCATCTGATATTTTTATTCAGATGGCAGGCAAACGGGACAAACATCTATAATATTCCATGCAGAACAGAAACCTATATTTTCTACAAATCCATCATGACCTCTACTTACACACTGAATGACAGAGTTAACTGTAAACATAATGATAGAATGTAAACATATTTTGTTGGAGCCTAAGTGGTTAGGCAAAGCAAACCAATTAATAGAAAACATATTCTTCCTGGCAGTTCCTCTAGCTCTTTAATACTACACACATTTTTAGCTAATGAATTTTCTTTCATGTAAAGCTCATTTAGCACAACCCTTTTGCTCAAATTTCCTCATGTAATTTAACAAGCTATCTGTATTTAAGAGTAGTCGGTTATTTTCTTGAATATTGACATAGAGTTTACAAGCTAATGGAAATTTGCTCTCTTATAGTCACATCTGTATTTTCTCAGGTGTCCCCAAATCTTCAACCAGTGAATACCCTAGAGACTGGAGTGGGGGACAGTTATACTCAGTCAAAAATAGGTGCCTTTAAAGAACCCATGTAGTAGCTCCTTGCACCTTGCTTAAGAGGCTAAGCATAACTGGGGCAGGATCTCTCTTTTTGGACACTGTAAGCAGCACTTATTTATCTTGCTAACTCTATAATACAGGTTGCTGAGACACTTGAAGAGGAGAGGTGTCTTCAAGACACTTGAATAGGAGTTTGAAGCATAGGAAAAAAATGTAGGATAGCTCCTGTACCTTGTTTTTCCGAAGCATTGAGCCACTGACCCACTCATGGGACTCTGGGCCATGGGACCATTAAGAATGTTTGAAAATCAGATTTTAAGAAATTTGGAACGGACTCATGAAAACAAAAGCAGATAAATGATCATTTATGAACATATGTCTTGCTTGTAGAAAACAAAGAAGTTTGAAAATGATGATATTTGAGAGACTGTATTTCCTCTACTGATGAAAAATATGATCACTTCCTTGCTAGAAGTTAATCACACTACATAATCTAATCACTGTCTATATGTGACTGAACCTGAACATTGTTTTCTTCTTGGTGGACTTTTTCAGCCTAGATTTCTGTACCAGCTATTGCTTGTAAACTAAGCAGTATTTCCTATGAGCTCTTGCATGATGAAGGACCTGCAACTTTTGGGGTGGCTGGCAACTCCTTCATTTCAAGACTAAATTAATTGCTTCCTCTTTGTCTGTCAAGTCTTCTTTCTTTTCTACAGTTTTAGGAACAGAAATATTGTTGATGCATTTTACAACTTTTCCTTGTTGGACTGTGTTAGGATAGTGCCAACTTAACCACACCAGGGAGCAAAATTGATTTTTTTCCCTCAAAGCACAAGCCTACAGAGGACTATCTAACACTATTGCCTTACTCACAGATCTGAATGCTGTTTACTTTCTATGTCTTCTCCACACCAGACCAGCCTAACGACTCTGTGTGTGCCACTAAAGCAACAACACAGCTATGACCTGGAAATCCCTGGACACTGGATAGAACCTGCCAGTGGAGGGTACAGGCTGTGGCAAACACAGTTCATAAGATATTGTGGACTTAAAGATCATCCGCACCAATCCCCAGCTCTGGATTTCTGTCAGTGCAGTTTATCTTTTGCCAGCTGTAGCATGTTCCTTGTAATGTGGAGCAAAATTAGAACAACTGAAGAGGTTTTGCTGATCGAGTCATACTTGGAGTAAATATACTGACTGCTACTGTTAATACAAAGAATAGTACTTCTTTTATTTTTACAATTTCTTACCTTATTGTGAATGTGTAGCTCTAAAATACACCACAATTCAAACTATTTGGTTACATTGTTTCTCAGACAGAAGATAAGTGCTGCTGCTTTCACTTAACTGTAATAGGATACTTGCAATTTTCATGTATTACAATACAAAGTTGTGTCTGTTGGCCAATTCTTTGAAAGCAATTGTATAGCTACTTCGGTAAATGGGAACAAATTGCTAATGGTTATGCAATGGGATTTACCTTCACTTCAAAAAAAGGCTATGCAAGTGCAAGATACTGCAAAGTGTTGATCATATTACACTGTATGTCCGCTCATTTCTACTGGTACATATATATTTTAATGGGACAAAACAAAGCTTGCATTGATTCAGTATCTTTATATTACATAAATAGCTGACTATTAGTATGATGCAAACTTCTCTAATTTTCCTGTCATAAAACCATTGCCATTGCCTTCCAAACAGTTGCTAAACTCAGCCAGCCAGCGTAAGAATCAGCCTATTACAGACAAGTTTAATAAATATTATAATTTTATAAAGTTTATAGTATATATTTCAACAAAAAGGAGCATTTAAAATTAACTGTCTGAACATTTTGATTAGAAGAAATCATATTTATACAAGGCTTAACAGAGTATATAATGGCACGTAATTAGTATACAAATATGTAGCAGAAACTGACCTTCATTTTCAGATTTTGAGTAGGAATTAAGTAATATAGACAATAATACAATTCTCTTCCTGATAATATAAATGATCTGTCTGCTATGAGTGTCCTGGAAGCTACCTCTAAAGCTAGCCTGTCCTATTTTCCATATCACAAGTATGTATTTGTGGCCATGGAAAATTTGCTCTTGTAAGCATGCAAGGTCACTTATTATCTAAACATGCTTAGTAAGTCCACCACCAGCAGTCACACCAGCAGCCAACAGTGTCCCTTAGGTAGCACTAAACTCAGCAGCCACACAGCACAAACATTATTACCTCCTGCGTGGAGCAACCCCAGAAACTGTTTTTCCATCATAGTATATATATACAGACAGAAGTTTGAACATGATCCAGATATTGTAAGAATCTCTAAGAGATTATGATGCAGGACAGTTCAGCCTCTACAGTGCAGCCACCCACATGCACAGAAGTCAGGGTATGCACACTTCCATTGTGTTACTGCCTTAGATCAAGAGAAGCCTACTCTAACTCATGTTTGGTCCCACCTCTTAATGGGATAGTTGAGGATTAGCTTGTTACTTGGAATGTCCTCACATATGATATCCCTAGGGCTGCCAAGGATGACTGAAAATACTGGAAGTGAACAATGGGAGAGACTCAATAATCATCTTCCTCACTCCTCAGATTTGACACAAGCAGGGCTGAGGCATGCAAAGGAAAAGCATTTCACACAGAAGGTCATCAGCTGCCAGCTAGAGATTTGGTGCATACATTTTATGTAACTAAGCTATTTTCTTGTGCAGACCACACCACTGTAAACTTTCCCTACCTCACCATCCTTATGCTTCAACCTTACGTAGGGCCTGAACTGAAGAAGTGACATGAAGTCTTAGTTCTCTCTGATGAGATTCCAAATACAAATATCACATCAGATGTGACATTCCAAGCAAGAAGACACTGAAGAACTAAATCTGCAGGCTGATAGTCACATGGAATGTAATTCAGTTTGGAAATATTCAGCAAGAATTACTGTAAATGTTTTAATTTACTAAACAGACTCATGTTTAAAAAGCTATATAGAATGTTTTTTCACAGTGTTACATTACTCTACTGCAATTCATTTTCAAGAGGTTAGCAGGCCTATGGGAATGGCATGGCACTATGGACTCAACAAACTGTCTGAAAACCAAATATATGATGGCACTGTATGCTGGCTGGTTAGAAACAAAGCTACCAGGTTTCATCCCAGCTCCATATGTAGCTGGTCCCTAAGCAGCATTCCTTCAGATACTCTTGTTTACAATCTCATGAGGAAATTTGGGAGCTGAAGGGCTGGAAATCTGGTAATCTCAGAAAAAGGTGAGGAGGTGTAAGAAGGACCATTTCAGTAGGAGAGCTTACATACATTTGTTCTATGAACAGAGGATTTCAGTCTCCAGGGCTGTTAGATCCAGCACCTTTTGTATTAATTTATTTTAAAATGAAATTCACACCCCCTTTTCATCACCACACATATTTTCAAAGGACATTTTAATATTAAAGGTAGACATTAAGGAAAAAATAAGAACTCCAAGTATCTGAAACTTTAAATTCCAACTGAATTTCCAGTCACATAAACAAGTATTTTGGTCTAAAGTCTCTCAGCCCCCAAATTTGAATAACAGTATGAAAGATGACAAATCTAGAAAAAATCCAAGCCTTACCTTCTTGTAGAGACTTCTCAGGTCTCTGTACTGCCACATACTATTGAGGACCTGAGATGCTGCTTTCACCACTTTAGGCGAATGCCTGTTACACACATACATTAAAAAGGGAGAGAGAGAAAAAAAGTGAGAAAGAGACTGTTAAGTAAAGGACACCATTCATTCCAATTTTCAAATGCTTTGCTAAGGATTTAAACACACAAATAAAGTGTGTTTCAAGTAAACCATAAAATCTTTGCTTGGCATCTTGGAGACCAATGTGTTTTTAAGCAGGGGCAATATATCTTATTTCTACAGTACTAATCAATCAGTGAGGGGAAAAACTTGTGCATCTCCGTATACACAGGGATTTCTGCTGAGCACACAATATGAGGAATAGGAGGTAGCAATTGGCAAAATTGTTGAGGACCTGGCTGGCATTATATACATCTAAGATATGCTACAACTTTTGGCATAAAGGACAAGGAATCAGAGCAGAATTCTTTCTCTGCAAGTTGCTGAACTCCAGCTCAGGACAGTGTGCTCAACTCATTAAGCTCCCCTTAGCAGTGGCCAAAAGAAACTCTAGATGAGTGATGAGCACTGGTTTTGAAATGTAGAGCCAAGATGCAGAAATACAACTGATTACAAAAAGTTATGATAAATTTAATTAGGAATCCAAATGTGGACTAGGATTTTGTTCACACCATTTTCCTTTAATGACAACAATAAAATATTGTGTTGAAAACCATGCAATTTCATAGTCTTTCTCTTCAGACCAGTTTTGAAATAAAGTCTAAGCTATTGTTACAACCAGTTGGTGTCATATATTCCTGCTAGAATAGGTAATTCAAAAAAATCTAAATCAGAGAGTATTCATCTCAGTGAGGAAGGGTCAAATAGAAAATGACCAGGAAGATAACCCAGCCCATTAAGGACACATACACTGTGCAGGATCAAAAATACATATAAAGCAGTAGAACGCTAGAAAACCTTGCAAAGGCCAAAGTCCAGAGTGAAGGGCAGTCACTAGGTGATTTATGTTTTGCTCAGAAGAGGCATGTGCTTTGAAACATCAAAGAGAAACCAGAAAACCAGCATCAACTTAAGTTACTGCTTTGGGCAGGGGCCAGCCTTTGTTCCATTCTGTGACTTCTGAGAAGGACCACTGGTTGGCTGATATGCAAACTGGTAAAGCGTTGTTATGACACAACTGATTCATTAATACAACATTTCCCTAGTAATTTATTTGGTGCTTTTTTTCCACTTCTATTACATTTCTCATCCAGAGTACAGCAGTAGGTGGGTAATTGGTGAGTAAACAGGATTTTGATAAGCTCTTTCAAGCATGATTGTTTTTATTATGCTTCCAGCTGTACTGGTTAATGGGGTGCTGGTAAGCATGGAATAACCAGGAAAATAAATGTGCCAACTACTCCATGAGTACTTAGGAGAGGCAGGAGCTCTGTGAAGCTGATATGGGCCTAGCCAATATAAATAACCTTACAGACAGCAGTTCTCTCATACAGGGAGACCATTCAAGCCCTGGGCATATTCCAAAGACTATCAGGGCCAGCCCCACACTAGTAGCACTGATACATACCAGGATGCATGGCCAGTTCAGTATCCTGCACATTCAGAAGCAGTTGCTTCATACTGGACAAAATTATTTCATACAGAAGTGATTTACTGAATTAAAGTGAGCATGTCAGAATTTTCTATCAGTTCAACAACCAGCAATTTTGGTTTTCTAACAATGAATTACCTGTAAGAAACCAAACCAAACTAACAGCACACAGTTTCTGAAAGCTGAAAAATGGAACTTTTACTTAAGATGGGCATTTGCAGCACTGTGTGTTAGCAGGTTTTCTTTTCCTAGAACTACATAACCTGCAAAAATAATAACATGGGACTGCAGGTCAAAGTACTTGAGAGGAGGGATACATATCACGACTTGGAAGGGCATTTTGGAATTACTCTGTTCTACATTAATTAGAAATAGATGTCTTTCACAGTTATGTGGGATATTCAGACAGGGAATAATACCCTTGGATCCTCCTAAAACTGCCCATGATTCTTCAAAAATTCCAGACTCAACAGGTATTAATATTCTTTACCAGATAATGAACAGGTAGATGAACGCATTATTCTGAGGAAATACATATTCAGCTTAAGAGAAATGGATAGGAACCTGCTTGCAATGTCAGTACATTTGATTTTAAAAATACAAATAAAAAATTTAGGTAGATTTAATAATAACAAAATGCAAATATAAATAAATTGGCAGTGTATGGGGAGGTCCCACAACTGGAATCACATACTTGGTAACACTACTTTTTACCCTTTCCAATTTGAATGCAAAAATGTTTCAATAATGAATCTGGTATGAAAGGAAAGGGGTGACAATAGAGAAAAAGAAATGTGATTAAATTATATTGGCAATGCTCTGATCACATAGGCGAGCATAAGTTCGCATATCAAATATAGGGTGCATAAATCTTTCCTTCAGGTTGTGGCCTGGCTTTGTGGGGCTCTTTAAGAGATCTGATGCTGCAGTAGGCTGTGTGGTGACAGCTCCGAGTAGGTGGACTGATGGGTTTTGTACACTAGGGTGAAGGCTATTTGTTTTCAAACTGCCATAGTCACATTGCACTATACTTCATCAGGTTGACAAATATGAGAACCAGGCTATCTGTTTTAGGCAAAAGAAGGATAAAGCGTGAACTCCTCATGAAGAGTGTGTACATAGTCAAACAGACAAGATGAAACCATAGCTGTTCTGAAAATGTCATAGTTGTGTGCAAGACATTTTTTGCCTCACAAAGCAGCCTCACGGCTCTCTCAGAAGCAACGAATCAGAAAAATCCACAGATCTATCACCAAGCTGGTGGCAGGGAAAAGGGTGCTGTGAAGAGGGACAGTGATTTTACATTCTTCACTCCTAGATCAAGAGGAGCTGTACCAGAACTGTGGTGAGGTCCTTCCTTTCAAAGGGCCCTCCACCTGCATGTCAAACCTTGTGCAGGGTGCAATCCAACTACTCTGATCCCTAACATTTATCAGGATCTTCTGCAATTGCTTAGAGGTAGGGGTTACTGTAGATAATTACTCTTCCTTAAAATGCACATGGAATGCACTCCCTGCACTACTGATGGCACATCAAAAAGAAACCAAAGCAGAGGGAGGCTTTTGGTATTGGCATTGTCTGTTTCTTGTCACCCTTCACACCGGGCATGTGATTTCTGAGCAAACTAAAGGATTCAACTCGCGATTGCACAGAGAAGGCAAACACATTCAAGACTAGTAATAACTACTGGAGAGGTTAAAAAGGTGCAAGGTGATTTGCAAAACATACTTGTCTCCTTTACTCTTAGATATGCCAACCAGTTTCTCAATGCCGCCTGCGTCTCGTAAGGCCTTGGCATTCTCCATATTTTTAGTGATGACTTCATGCAGAGTGCAGCAAATGGCAGTAACGGTGTCATCAGACATGGCCTTGCTTGCTGAGCTGTTGCTGTTGTTAGCGCCTGGCAGTCGGTGGACCAGATCCCGCATGGCATACTTGCCTTTGTTGAAAGAAAATGAAGGGAGAATTCAGAAGATACAGCAATAAAGGATGACGGAGAAGTACAGGGAAAACACGCAAGACTAATAGCACCATTTGCATCATTGCATGTAATCTAATTGGATACTGACAATATTTTGGAGCAAGCCATATTTATATTATTGCATGTTCAAGCATTTCGCACATTATGGACTCTGTTAATACTTCCATACTGCATCAGTCAGAGACTTCCAATATGGCTACATCACACCTATAATAGAATGGAACTGTGATGGTAAAGTCCAAGTACATGCATAAAGATAACCTGAATACCATGATTCACAGAACTTGGCAAGCCCTCATCTCCCATCAAACAACTTGCAGCTTTACCATAAATTTAATGTGCATCAGCTGTTAAAACCACAACAGTGAATGCAAATCCCATGATGTTGGTATTTGTGAACAAGTCTTCTCTGAAGACTTATTCACTGTACAAGGTTAATTCTATTCTACATGCAGCAATTTAACTGGGTTTGTTAGTGTTTCTTAGACTGTATTGTGACGCCATCTTTTTCACACATCCTTAGTTGTATCCATGATACTGACCAGAAAAGGAGCCTTTCTGACATCCATTCCAGTCTGGCATTCTGCAAGGATTTATTGAATAAAACACTAACCTCCAGAATTTAAAATCTTCTAAAATGAAAGGAATTTTTAAAATGGTCACATCAAACATTTAAAGAAAAAGAAATTCTGTCAGTAATATTTGGGCTTGATGATCTTTTTCAACCTAAATGATTCTAAGATTATTATAATATTTTTCATGCTTAAATAAAGATTTCTTTTTCAAGATTGCACCTAAAAATCATGTAGTGCTTGTGAAAATAATAAAAAGCAGCTTCTGAGAGTATATATCTATATATCTATATCGATAGATGATAGATAGATAGATAGATAGATAGATAGACAGACAGACAGATAGGACAGGATTAGCACCAGCACAGATACACAAGAAACCTCACATCAGTTCTAGAGGATTGCTATTATGGTGAATGGCTGCTCAATCCTTCAATGTGATGAAGAGAAGACCAGAGAAGGCGAAGGCCTGATGAAGTTATTACTGAGGTCAGTGAAACAACTGAATCACCTTCAGCGCAGCTGTGCTAGGAATTTACATACAGCAATCACCATGAGTGTATCATGCAGGATGAAAAGGACAGGAAAATTGTGAAATATGAACATAATTAATAATCTAATCTATATCACATTTTTGGAATGACCAGGTATGATTATTGCATATAATATGGTAATTTAATCAGATTTTTTGGATAACTTGAAAATGTTCTGATCAATTAGTGTTTATGCATACTTATTAAAAATCTTATTTCTGAATTCATAAATTCAGTTGATTGTATCCATATTTGAAAGTAGAGACAAGAGGAAAATCACATCTATTATTTTCATTTCTCACAATTTTGCCTAATGTGGTAGAACTACAGTCAGTCATTTGAACAGAATATTCATAATACAGATAAAACCTTAAATCTCTGCACTGACCTGTTAAAGATTATCAAATAGATTTTGTGGTAATGTAAGGTGTTAGAAAATACTCACTCTATATTATGTAAAAACATTCCTGATTATAAAAAGCATTAGACTGCCTACAAAATGTGTACAGTAGGATTTGAATCTTAACAGTGTGCTGCAATACAAATCCTGTCCTCAAACATTTTTATTTCTTTTAACTTAATATTTAATTTACTTGCACTGTTACAATTTTAAGCAATATTATTAATATCAAATGTAGTACAGTTGTTAGCACCTCTTTCAGAAATTATTTGTTTGAGCAAACTGAAAATCTTCTTTCCCCCTACATATTTATGAAACACTGTTACAGAAAAGTATGAAATGCTATTTTCACCTGCATCTGTGTGTTTTGTGCAATGTGAACACATTAATAGTTGCATATCACTTACAGTGATTACTTCAGTTTGCAATACATATCAAATTAAGCTGGTGTTTCAAAAAATAAACTATGATTTGATATAGCTTTTACTCTTCTAGCACAGTGTCTGCCACTGGTTGGGAGTAAGTACAAGTAGATAAATCAGGTCAGTGAGACCTTCTGCTTTATTCTGTGCACACATCCAGAACAGACCAATATTCCTTTTTCATTTTGGACCTCACTTAAACTGCAACAGAGCATCTCAGCACCTCGGTCCTCTGGTGGAATCAGTTCATGATGATAATTTCATTAGCAGCCAAATATTGCATCACAGAGCACTGGGTGTAAAGAAATTTGGATGGCTGCCCCAGGTAGACTTACTTCCTGGAACTGGTCTAGTATTCCAGGCAGTAGTATTCACACCAGTACACATATCTAGACACACATGTCTATTGTAAGATGCTTCTTACAATAAATAAAGGCTTTGGAGCTATCAGAGAAAGTTCAGTTGGAAAACTAAAACTGATGCAATCAAGCAGGGTATAAGCATTCTGGACCTCCCAATGCTCAGCAGTTCTAACATTTCTGCTGTGCATACCCTTTAGTTAGGCGTGAATATCAAGTCAGTATTAGACACATCAAAACAATAAAACAGGCTTTTTAATATAGAAAGTGTAAAAGTGGGATAGTACAGCATTCCTTATTCTGAGCAGTTTTAAGTCCAGCCCAATATTATCATTCAATTCTTCATCAGATGCATATTTAAAGTAAAATATATTCTGAGTGGGTTTGGTAGGGTTTTTCAATTGCCTTCCCCTTCTTTCTCCCCCAAGAATTGCATCAAATTTAGCCTTTGGATAGCAAGTGCAAGAAGACTCACATTTTGTAGATCTAGAATCTAGTCACTGTATTTCATCTGTGGCAGCTGTGAAAGCTGGTGTCCAGTTTGGAGACCCCCCTACTAGAACCTGTAATGTCAATGCCAGGCCTCCCTGCCAGGAGCTGCCTGTTGGGGAGACAGGTTTCCCTCTCCCTGCCCTATCCCCAGGAGGCAGCAAAGGACAGATCTGCCACTTCCAGCAAAGCTGCCCATGTAGATAAAGTGACTGACTGTAATCTGACAGGAGTCATGGTCAAGGATATCAGAATGTCCTTCCACAGGTTCACCAAACACAAGTGGCTCACCAGCTGGAAGAAGAAGGGAGTGGCTGGGCTACAGAGTTGATCCAAGCCACTGTTTATGCGGGTCTTAAAACCTATTAACAAGTGTAACTTAGCACATTTTCTATAGTTTGACTACTTCAAACACTGTGCTAGCTATGTGAAAATATATTTAAAAAGCAGGAAATTTGCTTTAATATAGAATTAAGTCATGGAAGTTGAAAGTCAAGGACTATTCTGTATACTGCAAAAAGTTTTTCTAAAACTATACATATAGTTAATTAATAAATCATTGTAGTACAGTGATTCACAGAAAAAAACATCATCAGTTATTGGTTACCTTCTCTTACTGCTTTACTACAGACATGAAGAGTCATGTTTTTTACATGAGCTACAAAAGAAAACTTGCTCCACAGTGGTGTGAATGTCAAGTCCTACCATGGGTACTGTTGCATCAGCACAACATAACTTTGATCCTTGACACCTGCACTGGTGTATGTTACATTCTGCAGAGCATTTGCACTTAGAATTACGTCTTTCCCCATTAAGAGCCTCTTCTGAAAGCAGACTGAAATGTGTAATGGAAACCATTGTTGGAATGTCAGCAAAATGTTATCTAGCACTACTTTTATCTAGCACTACTAGAAGGAGAGCTGGGAAATTCAGCTTGCAACACAAGAAGCCTCTCTGAATGGAAGAAGTGAGAACTGATGAGGGTGCTGTGAAGAGAGGTGGATGTGTGTGATGATTATATTAAAAACAAATAGCCTTGTTAATTTTCATTAGGGTCTGTGCAGAGCTACTTTAATCTAAAAACAAAATATTTTTTTATTTTTATTTGTTGTATTTGAACAACACATTGTAAAACTGATTTGAAGCTTTTAAAGAGGATTTACATAATATGATTAAACATAGCCAACAGCTTGACAAGGAAAAAAGAAAACATATTATTTGTTCAATTTCACTCTTAAAGGAAGGAAGAACGACATAAAATAGACATAACAGGAAAGGGGTTATCTTGTGGGTGCTTGGAAGATATATTATTTTTCTGATACTATACATTTAAGTTATTTTTCTAAGACTTCCATCATTTTCATATTAAGAAGGTGATTCATCTAACAACACGCACTAAGTCTTTGACTGTAAGGTGACTGCATCTGCTTATTATTTCAACAATGAAGATTTAATGTCTTTTCCTTTGCATGATAAAAGTCTCAGCACATTAACACCTGCCTCCATTACTTAAATTGGGAAACTTTTCATGTCAGAGGATCAAATAACTGTTCTAAGAGAGATTCTGCTTTCAGAGCCAAACAGCAGAGCAAACTGCTCTTCTGGTAGATTAAACCAGAGCAAAATCATCAGAGATAAGATTCTACTTCTGGAAATATTTCCTTACTATTGCCTTGAGACAAATTTGCTGCTGTTGTAACATCATTGAATCCACTTCCATTTTCACTCATCTCTGAAAAATGCCTTTGACACACTAGCAAATTTATTAAGTAGATGTGACATAGCTCCTACTTTGAGACTACAAGATTAGGAAAATTGACCTATTAAACCCCAAACAGATATTAATTCAAACTAAGACCCCTGTCCTAGAGATAGATCTTCTATAAAAGTAATTGTTTACTATTCCCCCACCTCCAAAGATATCCATTAATTCACATCATGTAGCTAGTTAATATAAAAATAGCAAAATGCCACCATACTTTGTTGTAAAGGCACAGATATCCTATTCCATAACTACTGGTGCCTGTTTGTCTGAATATATGTGAATCTTCTTCTCTTAATGCTAACACGTGTGCTCCACTTGTGCTACTATGAGGTTTTGGGCACGTTCACCACCTCTGTGTTTTTAATACTACTCAACTTCAGTATTTCACAGACTTATGGAAAGAACATGACTGGGAGAG